TGCGGAACACCATTGTTCTTAAGTGGTTGACACAGTCACTAATTAAAAACCATGCGTCATCATAAATATCCTCAATACATTTATTGAGCATCTACTGCATACAATGCAGGGGTCAAGGGAATGAGGAAGCAAGTGGTGTAGGACATTGTCACTGCTCTCAATGGCCCCACAGTCTACTCAGTGAGAAAGAATATACTTATGTTAAGATTTTTAAAAAACTGCCTGCCTCCCAGGTTCAGAGGGATGCAGCAGTGAGGGATTGCAGAGGAAAAAGGGACACCAGCCTTCATAAGCAGGGGAGGACTTTTTTATTATTCTTTTTTATTATTTTTAATTTTGGGGACTACATGGTAAGTGTATATATTTATGGGGTACATGAGATAAATATTATGTGCAATGTGAAATGAGCGCATCATAGAAAATGAGGTATCCATCCCCTCAAGCATTTATCTTTAGAGTTACAAACAATCCAGTGACACTCCCTAAGTTATTTTAAAATGTACAATTAAGTTATTATTGACTCTAGTCACCTATTGTACTATCAAATAGTAGATTTTATTCTTTCTACTTTTTTGTACCCGTTAACTATCTTCACCTTCCCCCACTAAGCCCCCTGCTACTTTTCCCAGACTCTGGTAATCATCCTTCTACTCTGTGTTCCTGAATTAGGTGTGGCTTGAGTCAAACATTGAAGGATTGGCTGGGTGTGTGGGTCATGCCTGTAGTCTCAGCACTTTGGGAGGGTGAGGCTGGTGGATCACCTGAGGTTAGGAGTCCAAGACCAGCCTGGCCAACATGGCAAAACCCCATCTCTATTAAAGTTACAAAAATTAACCGGTCGTGGTGGTGGGCGCCTATAATTCCAGCTACTTGAGAAGCTGAAGCAGGAGAATCACTTGAAGCCGGGAGGTGGAGGTTGTTGCAGTGAGCCAAGAGCATGCCATTGCATTCCAGCCTGGGTGACAGAGTGAGACTCCATCTTGGAAGTATGGGCCACCACATTCAGCCAAAGATAACTATGTTGGAAAGAAAATTGAAGGACAAGCAAGATGCTGATGGGTACCCAGTAAACACGGGGGTATACACATGGTAGTACAGTGTGCTTAGTAGAGAATGGAAGGCATACAGCCTAGACTCTGGTCCTGAATTTACACTTCACCTATCAATTCATTTTTCCACATCTTTATTTTCTCTTAAAATAGAGATTATCATCTGTCTAGATTTCTCCATGTATCAGAGGAATGCTTTAAGAAGGTAAAATAATATTTCAAATAACAAGACTTTAAATCTTTTTGGAGCAGAGAAGTCAGGTAAACAAAGACACTCTTATTCTGTCAGTCATAGTTTTCCAACATTGTCATCAGACACCAAACTAAAAACTTCTGTTCAAGCAACCCAGGGAGTCTTTGAATGACAGGTCGGTGGTATTAATGAATTCCCTTCTCAGTGCTCAGACCACAAGAATCTGTGAATGAAAATGAGACAGAGGACCCGGATGTAATGTGAGTTTCTGTTTATGAAACTGAGTGGTATCCATTTACAGAAACACAGAATCCACACAAAGCCAAGCTGTGGCTATCCTTAGGGCTTGTGTTATGCCCTTAACATCACTGCAGGAATATTCAGTGTCTGTCTCCCGCATTCTTTCTTTCCCTTCAAGATAATCTGAGAGTTACCACAAAGGAAACACTCCAGACTTCACTGGTCCTACTGAAGGCCTGATTCCAATTCCCCATCAAACTGCTACCAGAGGCCTGCAACCCAGTGAAAAGCCCTTTTATGGGAGCACTTGTGATGGGTGTTGTTTAGACATAATTATCTTTGGCTGGATGTGGTGGCCCATACTTCCAGTTCCAGCACTTTGGGAGTTGGAGGTGGGCAGATGGCTTGAAACCAGGAATTTGAGACCAGCCTGGGCAACATAGGGAGACCCCCAACTCGACAAAAAATTTAAAAATTAGTCCAGTATGGTGGTGTAAACCTGTAACCCCAGCTATTCAGGAGGCTGAAGTGGGAGGATCACTTGAGCCAAGGAAGTTGACGCTGCAGTGAACTATAATCATACCACTGCACGCTGGGCAATGGAGCAAGACTCTATCTCTAAAAAAAAAAAAAAAAAAAAAAAAAGGAATGGTTATCCTACCAAAAGAATAAATGGCTGTCACCACCATTTAACATTGTCCTTAGTTTTCTTTTCTTCATTTTGATTCTTTCTCCAACGAACTGTTGCCTTTTCAGAGATGAAACAAAGGGGGCTGTTGGGTAACAACCCAGGGCCCAGCAGCTGGCTCCAGCGAGGCCTGTCTGCAGGATGAAGGCTGAGATCAAATGTGTGACTCATAACTGGGAGGCAGCTGCCAACCCCAGCTGCAGGGCATAGCCGGTACTGGCTGGGAAGGCTCGCTGGTCTGCACCCTTGTCTGCTTACTGTGCTAGGAGCTCAGCACCAATCCCACCTCCCTCCTCCAACCCTATCTCCACATGGAATTGTTCTGGCTGTCACCCAGAGAGCTCCTTCTTTCTACCCATGTTCAGTTGGGTACTTGAAACAGCACATGACTCATGTTGTACTCAGCCAAGACTCATAGCATCAGACTTCTATTGTTCAAGAGCTGACTCCAAGTTCCATGAACAGTTTCAATAAGTGGAGTCCTTGTTGCTTACATTGCAGCTCTCTAAAGTCATAGAAAGAAATGACCACGCTGGAGCCACAGAAAAGCCAGGGCACAGAGTAGCACAACCTCATTCTTCCTTAAACACTGTCTCTGGAAGATCATCCTGAAGCATTTTCCTTGGAGAACCGGCCATAGTCACCAGGTTGGGTTTGCCGCAAGGGATGAATACAGAGCTTGTCAAAGACTGTAGAGTTGCAAGTGCAAAGACTAGCAGTGTCACTCCAGGGACTAGTAAGGGCCTGAGGGTGAATTTTATCATTAACTCAGGGCTCTGCTGCCAATGTTAACTGCATTTTAGAGCAAGCCTCAGAATATCCTTCTGGGAAGCAAAAGAGTCTGGATCTCCCAATGGAAATCAAACGAGTTGTCCTAAGACTTGAAACAAGGAGCAATACCAGTAACGGATCATTACAATTTTAATGAATTAATGCTCTCCCAGCAGTGCAAATGATGTTTTAACACCTGGGTAAAAGGTGATAAAACCTTGTCAATTCTCTGACTCAGGGGAGAGATCAAGCTGCTTCCTCTCTTTAAGAAAATTCCCATTGACATACTGCTAAGCGAGAAAAGCAAAGTGCTCTCGCATCTCAGGTATGGTAATTTCTGTGTAAGAAAGAAGAATATACTTGTATTTGCCTATTTGTGCACAAACACAGGAAGGATCAAGTGGAAATTGGTGAGTTTGGTGACCACAGTGGTGGGTGCTTTCAGGGGGAAAGGAGGGGAGAATGGCACGGAGTAGAAAGCATGGAGGAATGGAGGATTGATATCTGAGGGTTTTTTTTTTTTTTTTTTTTTTGAGATGGGCTCTCTCTCTCCTTCTCTGTTGCCCAAGCTGGAGTACAGTACCACCATCCCAGCTCCCTGCAGCTTTGATCGTTCGGCATCCAGTGATCCTCTCACCTCAGCCTCCTGAGTAGTTAGGACTACAGATGAGTGCCACTATGCCTGACTAATTTTTTTATTTTTATTTTTTTTAAAGACAGAGCCTCTCAGCGTTGCCCCAGGCTGGTTTTCAATGCCTGGCCTCAAGCAATTCTTAGCCTACCAAAATGCTGGGATTATGGCCTTGGCCTTTCAAAGTGTTGAGATTAGAGGTGTGAGCCACTGTGTCCAGCCCTGAGTATACCTGTTGGATACTTTTGTCTTTGAGTGCCATGTTAGGGTTTGCCTACTCAAATAAATAAAACCAACAAAGCTGAGGGGTAGGAAAAAGAAAATCCATTTCTTTTTTGGGAGGACCAGAACTTGCTTTTGTCATCATGGTGGTGGGAATGGCTCAGTAAATAAAGGATTTAAATAAAAGGCTCAGTTGTTAAAGTCTTTCTGACTTTTTAAGGGATCTGCTGTAAGTTCTGAAATTGAACTCTACACAACCTAGAAAAGAGGAAATTGTTACAGCTTCCTCATTCCTGCAAATCTTTGAAAAAAGAATAGACATACAATGTCTGTGTAATCCTAGTAAAGGGGTGAAGGCATGATTACCCTTTCAGCATTGTGGAAGGTCATCAGGGCTGGATCCATGCATATGATATTAAATTGGTGCAAAAGCTATTGCTGTTTTTGCCATTAAAATTAATTAAAAAGTAATGGTAAAAACCACATGAATTTTGCACCAACCTAATGGAGCAGATAGTTTGTCTCTGAATCTTGTGTTCTCAATTCCTGCCTTGTCTTTCCTCCTCAGACCTCACATTCAATTCCCCCAAGCTGTCTCCATGTTTGCTTTGCCCTGATAAGACAGCAAAGCAGGAGTCTGCAGAGTAACCTTTGAGTTCATTACAGTGCACAAAAATCTTAATAATCTAAGCACATCTGGCGTCTAGGGCAGTTTTTTTTTGAGGGAATAGCTGTAATCACCTCTGGTATAAGAGCTGAAAATGTTTGAATCTCACATTTAGAATATGTGATCAATGTCTATGTTCAAATCCCAACTGGGAGAATCCAGTACCGAATCAGCCTGTTGACATGCAGAAAAATCTCGAGTCAACTTGACTTTTCTTCTTCCCAGTTCCATAAGCTTGGCATGGATGCAGGCACATTCTGGGAGAAAAGATCCGGATCATACAAGAATAAGTATCCTGGATCTGGTAAGCATCCAAATTGGTCACAGATATTTTGGCCCAACCCGAGTCCCTTAAACCAAAATATCACTTTTGAGTTAATTTGGGCTCTTTTTCTGGAATCCCATAATCCATTGGGCTACCTCCTGACCAATTTCTCCTCCTAGGACATCTTTTACAGGGAGTTGCCCCATTGCCTGCATTAATTAGAATTGGAAAAAAAGAAAAAGAAGGAAAGAGTAATTTGTCAAGACAATCACCCTATGGTACTTGCTCCAACCATTTTATTCTTGCCTTAAAATTTTTTTTTCCAACAATGACATCAGCTGGGTTAAACTTTGATTTCCAATGAATAAATTCCATTCATATTACCCTTTCTTAAAAATGACGAGTTGGTTTTATGTTACAAATCTACTACTTTTAGTCAGATTTGGTAAACTTATCTTTAGATCGCCAAAGTTTTTCAGATAATCAGCAGAGCAGAAAAGGGCTGCCTCATTTACCGACTTTGTGTATTTTAGGAGCAAATTTAGAAATCACTAAAGTAACATGTGTCTTCTTTTTTCAAAATCTTTGTACTTATTTTGTGTACATGCGTACATCTCAAAAGAGTTTTTCCAGCCCGAAGCTCTTGGAAACCATGAAGTGTTATATAAAGTGGTAACTACAGCTCCCCAGAACCCAGTCCTTTTAGATCTGAGCCATATGTTATGATAAATAAATAATCCCTAAAACATTTATCTGGCTTCTGGCAAGGATATAACTATTTAGTTATGAGGCTTTATGATGCCTACATTAAAAAAAATAGAAGAAAAACGATTCCACATCTTGGCATAAAAATGAGAATGGCTTACAAACAACAAAAATTACATATGTGGAAAGGATTATGGGGGCGACTTGACTCAGAGTGGGAGAGAAGAAAAACTGAAGATTTAAATACCAGTAGTTGGGTTTAGAGCCAAGGAAAACGGAAGATGAACTCACTGATAACAGGAGTATTAAATTGCCAGCTGCCATACAACGCTCCTCGTACAAAAGTCCCTGATTATTTCCAAATATCCGTCCTGCAGAACAAATGATTGTTTCTGGGCATAATGGATTTCATGCTAGAATCTTCTGTGAAATAAAGGTGTGCAGCCTAGGTGTATTTTGAAGTAACAACAACAATAACAACAATTATAATTGAACCTCTGAATTTAGTGCGACTGAAGTTGTTTCTTAAACTCAGTTATTTATAGCCACATGACTAATCACTTATGGAAAAGGCCAATCCATGGAGAGGAATGGGTGGCAATCATTTCCAGAGAATTTGAGGAAACTAGGTTTTAACATTCCATATTTAAATTTCACCAATGGTGGAGACTGAAAAAAAAAAAAAACCCTATTGTATAGAGCACCGTTGACATAACTCACTCCATCTTAGACTAAGACTCCATTTTATGTTTCACAGGGCACTTTGCCAACAAGGATAAGATGTTTTGTTTAATAAATAGCGACAACAAAAAAAGATAAAGACTGCATCCAACCAGAAAAAGACATGAACAAGCACAGTTCCACCATCAGTTCTTATTAGAGGACTCTGTGACTTTAAAAGGTCAGGCCAGAAGCAGCTGGAAATGGCTGTCTTAACTGACACTGTCTTGCAGTCACTCATGATAAGAACTTGGCATCTGCTGGCATCTGCTTTTGCCACCTCCAACATTCTTCCTTGCAAGACTGAGCCATGCCCCCGGACTGGTTCCTTAACCCTTTCTCCAATCTCTTTCTCCTCTTGCTGTTCAGCGTCACTTTGTTTATTGCGGAATGTTTAATCTGTAACACGTATGCATTGATTAAGTATACTATTAAGTATGGTTTGCCATACTGATTGACTTGAGGAGTGGCTTGAGCCTGCGTGCCTGCAGCTCTACCAACAGAATGGAAGGTACAAGGAGCATTGCCTCCTTGGCAATTCCATGTAGCTTCTGGCTTTTGTGACTGAGTTAGCATCAATAAAAGCCTGACAATGTGGAAAGACACAGTCATGTGTGGACCTGGTTATTTATTTTTTTATTTTTTATTTTTTTTTTTGAGACGGAGTTTCGCTCTTGTTACCCAGGCTGGAGTGCAATGGCGCGATCTTGGCTCACCGCAACCTCCGCCTCCTGGGTTCAGGCAATTCTCCTGCCTCAGCCTCCTGAGTAGCTGGGATTACAGGCACGCGACACCATGCCCAGCTAATGTTTTGTATTTTTAGTAGAGACGGGGTTTCACCATGTTGACCAGGATGGTCTTTACCTCTTGACCTCGTGATCCACCTGCCTCAGCCTCCCAAAGTGCTGGGATTACAGGCTTGAGCCACCGCGCCCGGCGGACCTGGCTATTTTTAACCTGGCATTGCTCATGACACCTATCTTCAAAAAATGCTTTTTTCTTTTTTCCTTTTTAAAACTGCTATTGGGACATTATTCCATGTCTTCAAATAAAAAAATTATTGACCAATTTCCTTCAGAACTAAGCACTGGACAAAGATGTATGCCTTCTGATGAACTCTCCTAAAATTACACACAAAAAAGAATTCTGCAGCCAGTTTTCTTTTTCTAGGTTGGTGGGCAGCTCAGAAGTAAGTTTTATGTTTAATTGCTCTTATTCCTCTCAATTAGAATTTATGGCTATTGTTTCTTAATTATCCTTTACTTTTTGGTTCATGTTGGTTTTTAAAATTGCTTTTACAACCTCATTTTATTTTTCTGAAGTGGATGGCATATAAAAAAGTTGGAATTAAATTATTAATTCAGGAATTAAAGATGTGGCTCCTAAGACATTTATTTTCTTTTTTGCTTGCTTTCTCTCTCTCTCTCTCTCTCTCTTTTTTTTTTTTTTTTTGGTCAGACTCTCACTCTGCCACCCAGGCTGGAGTGTAGTGGCTCGAGCTTGGCTCACTGCAACCTCCACCTCTGGGTCCAAGCTATTCTTGTGCCTCAGCCTCCTGAGTAGCTGGGATTACAGCCATGTGCCATGATACCCAGCTAAGTTTTGTATTTTTAGTAGAGGCAGGGTTTCTCCATGTTGGCCAGGCTGGTCTCGAACTCCCGATCGCAGGTGATCTACCCACTTCGGCCTCTCAAAGTGCTGGGATTATAGGTATGAGCTGCCATGCCCAGCCTTATTTTCTAATGGCACCAAATTCCCCTGGCAGAATATTTGCTCCTCCCTCTCCATTGTTCATTTACTTGAAGTGGAAAAGGACAAAAAAGCAAAAGACAGCAAATTGAGGGCGGAAGGTTTGCCTGGCAAATTCCAAGGAACAAAGAAAACTGACGACGTTCCCCGAAACAGATAGGTCCTAGGGAGAAATATGATTTCCATGTTCTCAGGCTCGCTTTCTCTTGTACAAATGGGTTGGGAGCTGGTTTTAGTTCAGTTCTTTCCTCAATGCTGAGGAAACAATTGAAATTACAAGTGTGCCCCAGGTGCTGTCTTCACCACTGATGCAAGGAAATATGAATGTGTTTACATGTAGTCAGGGGCTGGAAGATGGAACTCGAAAAAGGATTGAAATTAATATGCAGAAGAGGACCTGGGAGAGTTCTCTATCCTTCTTGCTAAGTGCATCCCAGGTTTCTAAAACATCCATTCAGATCTTTGTATTTGTTTTAATTTGTCCAGAGTTATTAACAAGGTTTTAGAAATTAATTAGATCTCTACTTGGAAGATTACCCATTAGGTAGAAACACAAGAGTCTTGGGGCTATTTTTCTTCAAATAGGTAATTTTTGACGTGTGTGTGTGTGTGTGTGTGTGTGTGTATGTGTGTGTGTGTGTCTAGTTTTGAGGAGGAAAGATCTGATGCCTAGTTTTCTTTGTGTATTTTTAAAGGCATGGGAACAAATATTGACTACATTAAGTAGTAGGTGCCAATAGATGTGTTAAATGAGGTTTTAGAAAAGGATACTTGGAGGTCCAAACAGCAGAGGGAGTGCTGGCCTGGGAGGTGAAACACCTGAGTTCTATTCTATTCTTGCACTGCCATCATCTAGTACAGTAGGAATGGTAGGCTATTTGCCACCTGGCGTCCCATGCACTCTCCACCTCCTCCCTGTCCCAGGAGGCTGATCCTTCAGACTGTGTCACCCAAAGTCCTTTGCTGTCTGGCATCCCATTAGGTTGGAGATGACAGGTGGGAAACAGAGACAACCATCTCTGGCTGTAGAGATCTCAGGGTAAATACCTCCTGTAAGTTCCTCTGTCCTGCTGTTCTGGCCCTTGCTTTTGGCCTTGTCACCCTTTGTTCTCATAACCCTGACCACACCTAGCTAAGTGGTCCCCTTAAGATCTTTTGATCGGAACCATCTGGCGTGGATTCTGTTTTTAGGCAGGTATCTGAATGGTAAGCAGCTTTAGCAAACTGGAAATGGATTTGGAGCAGTGGGGTTGAATTCCAAACCACCGGGATCACAGCGACTGTGTCTGGATTCTTTCCAGGAGGCTGCCAGGTGGGAAGAGAAGCAGGGAAGATTAATTGGTACCCACCTGCCTGGTCCTTTGCAGACTGCTGCTCTATCTCCTGAAAAGGGTAAGACCAAAGACAGGTCTATTTTACCCACCAAACATATTAATGCACTCACGCACTTAAGGATAAAGAGCTTTGCTTGTGACTCAACCAAAAAAATTTTTAATGGAGATTTCTTCTTCCTCTTGTTTTTTTTTTTAATAACAATTTGACAAAAGGGTGAAAAATCCTTTAACAAGGTAGTGAGACCAGTGTCTAGGCAGCATTCTGTTTGCTGAACTGCTCTCATGACTGCATGGAGCTAGAAATGTATATAATTACAGAAGAAGACAGGGAGGACTTGGTGCAGAGAGGAGACCCGTGTGGATGGGCAACAGCATCCTTAGTCTTTCATATTTATATATGTATTATATATATATGTATATACATATATTTTTTTACATCCAGGTATACCAGTCATCTGTACCATTTCCCAGGGAGACAAGGGCGCTCCCAAGGCAAGACAGGAAAGGGTTAGGCAGGGAAGGGGCAGCAGACAGTGCAGGCTAAGGCTTGGCTCACAAAAGCTGCAGGAGCTTCAGCGACTGTAAGAGGGCCCCCGGCTCCGCAGATGCCAGGTACTGGCAGCAAAGCCAGTCCTCCAGCTCCACGCCCCGCCTGCGATCCACCGCCTTCTCTGCAAACTTCATCATCATCAGGGCCCGCTTCATGTCGATCCAGTTGTGCAGCGTGCCGCACAGCGCCTCCTCCGAGGTGCCCGGCTGCTGCACCAGCTCGCGCCGGGGCCCCCACAGCAGGCACTGCAGCACGCGCTTGGCCTCGCCGATGCGGATGCGCTTGATGGGGTCGGCCTCCAGCAGCAGGTGTGCCAGCTGCTGCAGGCCCGGGGAGTAGAGGGACAGCGCGGGCAGCGGCGGCAGGTCCTCCTGCCGGTAGTCCCGCTCCCGCAGCTGGGCGCGCACCTCGAACGGGTTGGGTTGGTGCAGCAGCTCGTAGATGAGGATGCCGGTCTGGAACTCGTCGAACTTGCGGTACTGGGAGGCAGACACGATCTCGGGGGCCAGCCGGGCCTGGCTCTTCTTCTGCTGCAGGTTTGGGGTACCGCCGGGCTTCTGCTTGGCCTTCAAAAAGTTGCTGATGATGAGCCGGGGCAGGTGCTTCTCCCCGGGCCCTCCCGGGCAGGCGGGGCCGGCTGCGGGGCTGGGAGCGCCACCGGCGGGGAGGGCGCCAGACGAGCAGGGAGGGGCGGCGGCGGCGGGGGCAGGGGCGGCCGGGGGGGTGCAGTGCACCAGCAGCAAGTTCTCCAGGCACAGGTCCCGGTGGATGATCCCGTGCTCCTTCAGGTGCTCCAGCCCGTTGCAGAGCTGCAGGAGCAGGAAGCACACGCGCCGCTCGTAAGCCTCGGGCTCCGCCTGGTGGGTGGCCGCCGAGTCCCGCACGAAGTCGGAGGCGGTCTGATGCGGCACCTCTCGGGTGATGACCACCACGCAGTCCTGCTCCTGCGCAGGGGGGTGTGCGGGCAGGGCCGGCACAGGGTCCTTGGGCGGGTCGTGGGACGTGAGCATGCTGGAGGGCACCGAGGCAACGAAGTGGCCGCAGTCCTGCTGGATGTTAAAGTGCACAGGCACGGACGGGCTGCAGTAGGAGACGGTTTTGGGCTCAGGGGTTTTGCAGATCTGTGGGGAGAAGGAGAATGGCAGTCAAAAGTGGGACCCATGGTTCTGCCCAACAAAGAGTGTGGGAATATTAGAGTGTCCACGTGCAAAAAAGTCAACTTCGCCCCTTACTCCACACAAAAACTAACTCAAAGTGGATCACATAGGTTTAAGAGTAAGAGCAATACTTAAACGCATGCTGGAAGAAAACATGGGACAGAATCTTTCATGCCTTGGGTTAGGCAAAGATTTCTTAAATATCACACCAACAGAGTCATTCACAAAAGCAAAAAAAAAAAAAAAATCACAAACTTAACCTCAAAAGTCTAAATTTTTATGCTTCAAAAGACCCCATGAAGAAAGCAGAAAGACAAGTAATAGATTGGGAGAAAATACCTGCCAAACATGATCTGATAAAGGACTTGTTTCTAGAATTCATATTTTAAAAAAAGAACACTTTTTTACAATTCAATAATACAAAGATAAACAATCCAATCAAAAAGACACAGAATCATGGCATGGAGAAAAAAAAAATAGACAAGAAATATGAACAGATAATTCACCAAAATAAAATGGTAAATGGCCACAAGCATGTGAAAAGATGTTGGACATCATTAATCAACAGGGAAATGCAAATCAAAACTACAAGGAGATATCAGTTCACACCCACTAGAATGAGTTCTAATAAAAGATAGTCCCAAGTGTCTATGAGGACGAGCAGAAATGGGAACCCTCATACATTGCTTGTGGGAGTGTATAATGGGGCAGACACTTTGGAGCAGTTTGTCAATTTCTTAAAAGGTTAAACATAAAATGACCATTTGACCCAGTGAGTGGGGTCCCTGCTGAGCAACATGCAGTATGGTGTGGAGGTATTGGCAGGAAGACATCCATCTGCACGCAATGTGGACAAATTCTTGTGAAGCCAAATAAGATTTACAAAGAAAGTAGCCTCACTTTTCTTCCAAGGTGAGCTGCAGCAGCTGAAAGAAACCAGAAAGCTCTCCAGGGAAGAGGAAAGAAACCAGAAGGAACCCTCAGAGGAACACCAGGGTAGCCTCTGAGATAAGATAGTAAAAGATCCCAAGCTCTTCTGTGGGAACAGTAGCTGGGGATCCACACAACTGTAACTTTCCTGCCTCCTCCATCTCTTCTTGTACAAATGACAGTGCCAGCCACCTGGGGATCTCTAGCAATTCTAGTCCTCAGCTGGCTGTCACTCAACTAGCGAGTCTTGAACCAGCCATGATGTCCCTCTATCAGGCCTCAATCTCCCTGTCATTACTCTGAAAGGGACTGAAGTCTCCTCTTTCAAATGAATATTATTATGCAACCTCACCCAGGCTTTGTACAAAAAGATCAGTGTGTAATGCTGAGAAGAAAGGCAACTCACATTTACCTATAAAATATGATCCTGCAAACACTCCCAAAATAACCCTGCCTTTGGGCTGCAGTGTTGGAATGATGACGAAACAGTGTTTTTGAAGTGTCATAGTGCTTACAGGCGATACTTTTAAAAGTTCTATTGCAAGCACTTTTTCACGAAGATTTATTTATATTGCAGCTGTGCAAACCTTCTCAGCATGAAACCTAGCATACAAGAGCTCAGCCTCTAAGGGACATTTTTAAAGCTAGTTATGGGAAACGGTAGGTAACACATTAATTTAGTAATCTATTATAAAAGCAGAAGGGAAATAAAGGGGAAAGACATTTACCCCAGACACTGCTTTCTATTACACTTAAAAAACGATTTTGAAATACATGTATCAAAGGCATTGTTATTTTGGCCTACCCAACTATACTTGGTTTTTACATATTTTTTACTTTTTGAGACAGGGCCTGACTTTGTCCTTAGGCAGGAGTGCAGTGGTACAATCACAGCTCACTGCAGTTTTGACCTCCCAGGTTTAAGCACACCTCCCGCTTCAGCTTCCTGAGAAGCTGGGACTGCAGTTGCACACCACCGTGTCCAACTAATTTTTGGAATTTTTGTACAGACAAGGTTTTGCCATGTTGCCCAGGCTGGTCTTGGACTCCTGGGCTCAAGTGATCCTCCCGCTTTGGCTTCCCAAAGTGCTAGGATTACAGGTGAGAGCCACAGTGCCTGGCCTGTACTTGGTTTTCAAATGGCAGGCTTCTGGAGCACTATTAAACTAAAGGAAATTGGGGAGTAGGTCCTCAAAGAAAGAGTCTTGCATATATGCAGTTTGGCCAACCACCTCTGCTGTGCTGTCAGTGGAGATGCGGGAAGGACACCACTGTTACTGTCTCACCCCTAACAGATACAGGTTGAACTCTTGCATGTGCAAGGCACTGTGCCAATTCTGAGGGTTCCATGCAGCAGCTCATTCAATCTCATTAAATCCAAGGAGGAAGGTGCCATTATAGAGGAGGAAACTGGGGCTTCCAGAGTTTAAATTATTTGCTCAGGACTATACAACAAAGAAGTGTTCCAAAGGTCAAAAGTATGGGCTCTGGAGTGAAAAAAGTCCTAGGTTTAAGTATTAGCTCTGTAACCTTTGGCAAGTTCCAAGGGATTTTTGTTATTTGCAGGAGTTACGTCCTATGAAGAAGCCATAAACACTCCAGCTCCTAGGGGAAATACCAGGTAAGTTTCCTGGGACCCTCTGGTCACAATATTTTCATTAACCCACCAGTATTCAACCTTGTTTCATGTATGCTTCTGTTTAGAGATACCTCGTTTAATATACCTTGTTGACTCATTAACATGAGCTCACAGGCAACAGCACTAGAGCTCATGTATGAACAAAGCTTATCTAACATACATGTTTTTATCCATGAGGCACATCCCAGCCTTGTGGTGGTTAGGAACACTGGACAGCACTTCAACCCCATGCTTGGGCCATTTCATCTTTTTTTTTAAATGGAGTCTCTCTCTGTCCTCCAGGCTGGAGAGCAGTGATACAATTTTGGCTCCTTGCAACATCAGCTCATTGCAACCTCCACCTCGTGGTTCAAATTATTCTCCTGCCTCAGCATCCCAAGTAGCTGGGACTACAGGTGTCTGCCACCACACTCAGATAATTTGTTGTATTTTTAGTAGAGGCAGGGTTTTACCATGTTGGCCAGGCTGGTCTTGAACTCCTGACCTCGTGATCCACCAACCTCGGCCTCCCAAAGTTCTGGGATTACAGGCGTGAGCCACCACGCCTGGCTACTTTCCCCCCTTTTGCTTGGCACTTCTCCTTGCTGCCACCATGTGAAGAAGGACGTCACCTGGTGTTTGCTTCCCCTTCCACCATGATTGTAGGTTTCCTGAGGCTTCCCCAGCCATGCTGAACTGTGAATCAATTAAACCTCTTTCCTTTATAAACTACCCAGTCTCAGGTATGTCTTTAGTAGCAGTGTAAGAAGAAACTAAAATCAGGTGACTCAAATTTTTCCTTGCCTTACACCTATCCAGAAATCACTGGAAAGCACTTCAAGTATTGATTTTGGAATTAGAAATAAATTTGAGTGGGTAGATGATTTTCAAATACAGAATCCACGCATATTGAAGATGGACAATATTTATCTCAAAGCCTGTTTTCTCCTCTGAATGACAGGGGCAGGGGTAGTCCTTCCTCGTAGGGCCATTGTGAGGATCTGATGAAATGATGCCAGCATGGCTCTTAGTGCCAGGCCCAGCCCAGGGTGAGCACAATGGTAAAGGTTGCTATGGTGACTGCTCTTGCCATCTTGGCTGTAGCCCTCTGGTGGTGCAGAGGCATCCAGAGCTGGCCTGCAGGTATTGTGCAAACCCAGAGAGCACAGCTGCCTAGGGGCCTGGGAAGAGTTTCCAAGGCCCCTTTTTCTTAGGGGTATGAAAGGCCTGGGCCCAGCAAACACTTGAAGCCCTGAGCTCCAGTCAGGCTACTGACATTTTGCACAGATATGTAAATGAAGGAGCAGAGTAAATGGCAACTGGGCTGGATGCATTTCAAAATCAGTGCACTGGGGCTTTTGCAAGACCTGCAGCTTTCGCAAAGCCTAGAAACGTAGGGTGCATGCTAACCAGCCCTGTGAGTGAGCTCTGTGCTCATGTTGGAGATCATTCTACAGTGCTGGATGGGGGAAGAGGCGGTGGGGGAGGGAGTGGCTTCTTCTCCACCTCCATCTCCCCACTCTCTGCTCCCACCCTTATTTCATTTTTAGGGGGCACTGCGCTTGGATTTTTAGCTCTCGAACTTTACATAGACCCTTGGTTCAGCTCAAGTTTCAAACTTTTTGCTGAGCCAGGACTCATTTAACCTTTGGAGCCAGGGTCTCATTCATGGGTGAAAGCCTGGTCTAAATCATGTCTGTTAAATCAAAAAGGCCCAGCGGCTTAAAATGGGTCCCTAATTACCAAACCAGAATTCTCTATAGATGGCTGATAAATGAAACTGCTTTGCACACACAGCTAATGATTTTTTTTTTCCTGCCACCTATTCATGTGGTGGAGCTACAAGAGCCAGCTTTATCTCCTCACTGCTGCAGGGCGCTGAGCCCAGGGTAGTAGGTTCCAGCATCAGCAAGGAGCAGGTGTGAGTCTGCTATTGTTAACTGGGACTCTGCAACTGCAAACAAGGTTCTGTCTGCCTTCAGGGCCGGCTCCCTGTTTAACATTCGCAGATGAAATGCACTGAGCCTCAGACAGGCAGCTTGCTGGCTGGTAAGGGAGACCCACTCTCCCTCCTGCGGATCCCCAGATGACTGTAAATCGTCTAGACTTGAGTGCTAATGAAGTGGAACAGCTGCACGTGTGAAATGATGCTCCGGGACCCCCACCACCCCCTCCCATGACCAGGCCATGCATATTTGCAAATTGATATTGTTCCTGGTAACCCTGTTCCAAGAATTACTATCCTCTGCGAATCAGATGCTAGTCTCCAAATTTCCTTTTTCATGTGGCACAGAGATGATCCATTATTCCTTGAGCTACCGTATCTCCAGGAAAGCCAAATAGGAAACCCCTGTGACTCTTCCTTAGAGGGCTAAGGCTTATCTTTTGGTTTCTGTATGGCTTCTATTTCTAATGAAATAAGGAGCCACACTTGTTTTTAACATGCTTAAAGAAAGTTAAATTTCTTTTGTGTTGTTTATTAGAGAATATGTCTAATTCTGCGTTATTATATGGGACCCTAGAATCCAAGCTGCACAGTACAGTTATTTATGGATGTAAAAAAACCGTTTGTCCCAAGGGCCCCTTAGTTCTTGCAGAAGGGTCACCTTGCTTTGTATTTCATGGGTGAGAGGGATTCAACCTCTTCCACCAGGCTTTTTCCTCCTCAAAATGGTAAAGGTCAGCTGTCTCTTGATACTGAATATTATTCAGTATATATTATTATTATTATTATTATTATTTTGAGATGGAGTCTCGCTTGTTGCCCAGGCTGGAGAGTAGTGGTGTGATTTCGGCTCACTGCAGCCTTTGCCTCCCGAATTCAAGCAATTCTCCTGCCTCAGCCTCCCAAATAGCTGAAACTACAGGTGTGCGCTGCCATGCCCAGCTAATTTTTTGTATTTGTAGTAGAGACAGGTTTCACCATGTTGGCCAGGATAGTCTTGATCTCCTGACCTTGTGATCTGCCTGCTTAGGCCTCCCAAAGTGCAGGGATTACAGGTATGAGCCATCATGCCCAGCCCGGATATATATTACTTATAATACTACTACTACTACTGATAATATTATTCAGTATATATAAATAATAAATAATTATAAATAATATATGCTGAATATTAGTATTACTACTCTTAATTATAACAACTATGTATTATTTAAATATACTGAATAATATTATTAATAGTAGTAATAATAGTATTATTACTTAAACATTATTTAATATTATTATTTTTTAAATGCTAACAATATTATTTTTTAAAATTGCTGGTAAGCAAGCTATCCCCCCAAGGCCATTTCAGATTAGCTCATTCTTTATACTTTTCTAACTGGAAAAAAAAAAAAAAGGATGTCATGTCTTAGGACAGGTGACGAGAGAAGACAGTTCAGGGTTTCCCTCCTTACTCCCAATAAAAGCCTACATTTATAGAAGGGCCAGGGACTCAATAGGTATTCAAGGAGCAGCAAAAGAAGATGAGAAATAGGGCCATGGGAAGGACTGGAGGGCACAGTAGAGACCCCAGTGGCCCAAATGGGTGCAGATGGCTCAGCTAGCTCACACAGAGCTGTGCTCAGAGCGTGCAGTACAGTGCGGGTAGACATCCCTGATCCAGCAGCAAAGGTTAAAGAGCTGTGCTGCCTTGAGCTCGTCACTTAATGTCTCTGAACATCATTTATCTTAACTGGTAGGGACACAACTTAGGCTTTGGAGAAACAGACACGCCAGGACTCAAATCTACTCCAGCCACCAACTAGCTATGGGCAAATTAGCCACTTTGAGCCTCAGATCCCTCATCTGTAAAACCTTAGAGGGCTAAGGCTTATCTTTTGGGAAGGGAGACCCACTCCCCCTCCTGCGGATTACTGTTAGGATTAGAGGTAATACAGTTAACACCCCCAGCCGAGAATCTGGTTGTAGAGTGAATGTTCACACAAATAATATTATTACTATTATTGTTCAAGATGATTCCTAGGTTGAATGCTCCTTCTGGCTCTAACATTAGAAGAACAACTTCATTATCCATTCTCCGTCACTACATTATAAGCTCTATAAGGAAGCTTATATTCACCTCTACATACTCTGATTGTGGCAAAGTACCTGGCATACAGTAGGCACTCAATAAAAATCTACTTAATAAATAAATAAACTCTGTTGCACTAAAAAGTAACTGTTTTCTCATCCTAGCTAGATCACATATGCGTATCCCCAAAAGAACAGAATGTGTCTTATATTCACACTACAAATTTCATTGCTCCACGTCCTGGGCAGAGAGATGGAGTGAAGTCATTGAGCACTAAGTGTTAAAAGAATGCTTAGGGGCCAGGGCAGTGGCTCATGCCTGTAATCCCAGCACTTTGTGAGGCCAAGGTGGGTGGATCATTTGAGGTCAGGAGTTGAAGACCAGCCTGGCCAACATGGGGAAACACCATCTCTACTGACAATACAAAAATTAGCTGGGCACAGTGATGCACACGGATAATCCCAGCTACTCGGGAGGCTGAGGCAGGAGAATCGCTTTAACTTGGGAGGTGGAGGCTGTGGTAAGCCAAGATCGTGCCACTACACTCCATCCTGGGCAACAGAGCAGGACTCCATCTCAAAAAAAAAAAAAAAAGGCCGGGCATGGTGGCCCACAACTCTAATCCTGTAATCCCAGCATTTTGGGAGGCTGAGGTGGACAGATTATGAGATCAGGAGGTGGATACCATCCTGGCTAACACAGTGAAACCCTGTCTCTACTAAAAATACAAAAATACATATATATATAGCTGGGCGTAATGGCATACTCCTGTAGTCCCAGCTACTTGGGAGGCTGAGGCAAGAGAATCACTTGAACCTGGGAGGTGGACGCTACAGTGAGCCAGGATCGCACCACTGCACTCCAACCTGGGTGACAGAGCAAGACTGTCAAAAAAAAAAAAAGAGAATGCTTAGGATTCAACTCCCCTCCTAATGCCCAGACAGGTAAAATGACTTGCTCGAGCCATACTTCTGCCCAAGCCAGCACCAGCCAGTTGCGCAGCAGAATGGAAGGAGGGAGAGGTACCTACTTTCACAGCATAGGTGCTGCCGGCGTCCTCGGAGCAGGTGGCACAGTAATAAATGGCATCCCCCGAGTCACAGCACGGCTTGTTACAAGTCAGCTTGAAGAGTGACCAGTTATTCTCATTGAAGTGGAGCTCCTTTTTCTGGCCGCCCATGAAGAGGTCCTCACATTTGGCTACAAGGCGGGCCAGGGACTGGGTGTAGAGTCCTCCCAGCTTGGCATAGGTGCCCTCCTTGCTGCTGATGCTGCTCAGGAGACCGTGCAGCTGAAGCTGGGTGCTACCGGTAGAGGCTTGACTGGACACACTCAGCTGGGAGGACGAGGCGGAGGGGGCCCCTTTGCACTGGAGGCCAGGGCTCCTGCAGCCACTTCTGCTGCCTGACAGGCCTGCTGGTGGAACCCAGTGGCCACTGCCTTTGAAAGCTTTCTCCAGAGGCTCAGAAGAGGAGAAGGCAGGATGGTGGCGGTTTCCGGAGCTCAATGAACGGCTAAAGTGAGACTCGTCGTGGACGTTGGTTTCTGAGTGGCTTAGGTTCAGCTTGGGGCTTGCTGTTCGGGGCTTCGGGGAGCCTTGGGTCCAGAAGAAGCCATCCGGCGAAGAGGCTGCCCGGCTCACTATCTTTTTCTGGGGGAGCGGAGGGGGCTGCAGGGGGCCACTGGAGGACACATCCTCAGTGGAGCCTGAAGGAAACGGAACGGGAGCAAAAAGCTTCTTCCCGCTGTTGGTGGGCGAGTGAGCCAGCTCAGATGAAGGACCTGAAGAGGAGACACAGAAACCATCAGGCCAAGGCCAATACCACTCAATTCCAGGAGCCTGAAGACTTTTTTTCCTTTATTTTTTATTTTTTTGGTCAAAGCAATTAATTTTATTTTACTTCCTATTTCTCAGATAGACAATATACGCACAGTGGAAAAAATCAAAACGCACAAAAGGTATACATTGACAATCAAGTCTTCCTCCTGGCCTGTCCCTCAGTCCCCAGATGCATGAAACCACTGCCAGTAGCGTTTCATGCATCCCTCCAGTAATCCAAACAAATGCAGGCACGCGAACACACACACACACACACACACACACACACACACACACACACACTCTCTCTCTCTCACATAATTACATAGAAGAGAGCAAACAGTGGCCACTGTTTGGAATAATACTTTTCTTTCACATTTTGTAGAGATTTTTTTAAATCAAATGTGCAGATCTATTTAATTTTAAACAGTCTTACCATAGTATATCATCATATACATAATATGATATACTTTGTATCATAGTATATCATCATATGCATAATTTATTTAGCCATCCCTTTTTGATGGACACTTAAATTGTTTCCAATATTTTACAGACAATGCTGCAACAGCAATAACAAACTTGAACATGTGTGGTTTGAGTGGATTTTTTTAAGGTCAGGTTTATAGAGGGTATCATTGGCCGACGGCAAAATTCTCCCTTTCGGCTGGACATGGCGGCTCATTCCTGTAATCCCAGGACCTTGGGAGGCCCAGGCGGGTGAATCACCTGAAGTCAGGAGTTCGAGACCAGCCTGGTCAACATGGTGACACCCCCGTCTCTACTAAAAATACAAAAATTAGCTGACATGGTGGTGGATGCCTGTAATTACTTGGGAGGCTGAGGCAGGAGAATCACTTTAACCCAGAAGGTGGAGGTTGCAGTGAGCTGAGATCTTGCCACTGCACTCTAGCCTGGGAAAGAAGAGTAAGACTTCATCCAAAAAAAAAAAAAAAAAAAATTCTCCCTTTTTAGTATGCAGTCCCTGCAAATTTCATGTATACCCTAAATTGGCTTAGTGGCCAAGGCAAGGCCACAGAGATTTTAGAAGGCAGGAAGGTCATGATTTTATAAATGAGGAAATTGATCTTAAAGGAAGGTGACTCTTTCCCAGCTACTTGGGAGGAAAGAAAAAAATAAAAAAAAAAAAGAGTCTTTCCCAGGCCCCACAGTTTCCAGAGTGGTGCATATGGATACGGAGTTTGCCTGGGCAAAGGCTCACTCAGGGCCACAGGTGTCTGCAGAGCATGGGGACAATCAGAAAACCTTTCTGGATAGCACACAAAATGGTGAGATGAAGGTCTGGTCTCTACAAAGGTGAGGGCTGACTTCACTCTTGGCATCAAGGTATAAAATGGTGGCTTCACAATGAAAGAACAGTTTAATTAAAAAAATAATATATATATATATATATATATATATATAAAATATACAATAGAGAGAGAAGAGATATGCACTATTAGAGAGAGAAAATGTCAAATTAAAATAATATTATTTTCCTATATTCTCAGAATAGCTCTAAGGTGTTATCTGCTATGTTAATAACAGCTTTTGGGGGGATAAAAGAAATAATCATATGCATAGTTTGTAAAATGCATCCTATTATCCTGAAAGTTAAAATATGAAAAAAATATGGCTAGTAGACCAGGTGCAGTGGCTCATGCCTGTAATCCCAGAACTTTGGGAGGCTGAGGTGGACAGATCACTTGAGGTTAGGAGTTTGAGACCAGCCTGGCCAACATGGCGAAACTCTGTCTCTATTAAAAATACAAAATTATGTGGGTACGGTGGCGTGTGCCTGTAATTCCAACTACTAGGGAGGTTGAGGCAGGAGAATCGCTTAAACCTGGGCTGTATCATTTACCATAAGACTCAGGAGGGGCTGGTTGCAGCGATTCATGCCTGTAATCTCAGCGCTTTGGGAGGCTGAGGCTGGAGGATCACTTGAGCTCAGGGGCTCCCAGCCTGGGCAACCTAGCGAACCCCTGACTCTACAACAAATACAAAAATTAGCTGGGTGTGGTGTCACGCACCTATAGTTCTAGATGCTCAGGAGGCTGAGGGGAGAGGATGGCTTGAACCCAGGAGGCAGAAATTGCAGTGAGCTGACATTGTGCCACCGCACTCCCACCTGGGCTACAGAGTGAGACTATCTCAAGAAAAAAGAGTTTCAGGAAGGAGCATGGTGTTTCTCAAGCTCCCCTTGTCCACTTCCCCATTGCAGTAAGCAATCCTTGTTTCCCTGTAGTTTATCAAGATCATAGGGAGTTGTCCGGCCCACCTGCTAGTGACAAGCGGGACCCCTGCCAGCAAGGCTGAGTGGGTGATTTATACCCCTTCCAGGAGGGCTCAAGTTAATAATAAATCAAGCAGTGGTCATGCAGTCTGGACCAGTCAGTTTTACATGCCCACGATTTCTCCCCCCAGTAGTCAGAATGAAGGGTGTACAAGAAATAGCGAGCCAGAGGAGGGAATATCCAGATGGCAGTGATCTCAGCAGGTGCTGAAACCCTTCAGTCCACAGGTCTCCCCATCCCACGCTCCCCAGGAAAGCAACAGGGACAGATGGAGGATAGGGCAGATGATTCACTTCCTCTCCCTCCTCCCTCAAGCAGAAGGGGCTGAGAGGAGGAGGATGATCACTTATCAGCTTCTGGATAAAAAAGGGAGGGCAAGACCACCTACTTATGGGGCTCTCAAAGGACACTAAATCTCAGCCACCAAACTCCCAGCCTGAGGAGCAGGAGGACTGGGAGCCATGAGCACACATCCGCTTCCTGACCTTGCCACATTCTAGGCAGCAGAAACCATCACCACTGAGGCATCTGATTCTCAATTTATCATCAATACAGCAGAAGCTGAAGGTAGGGGATGGGAGTGGGGTGTGATCAGAGCCCTGGTCAATGCTTTCATCAGTGCCTTCAGAGACAAGGACAACCTGCCTATGGTCAGGACTCCTTCCCATCCCAAGTCCAGTCAGCCAGGGAGGTTCATAACAGATCAATTTCCTGGCTAGCCTCCTCTTTAAGCCTTAGGCTTATTTCCCCATCTTTAACAGTTTTGTCTTCCTCGTCTTTAATACAAGGATGCCCTGATGCCACCAGAGTGCCCCTTTCTGCTTCTGCTCCAGTTTGAGAGTGAGCAGTGGAGTGATACGTCACCAGCTGTCAGCCTGCCTGTCCTGAGTTTCCTCCTTTAGAAAATGACCGATTACATCTTCGTGAAGGCCCCTTGCAGCACCAATAGTCTATAATTTCAGCTACTCTCTTTAAACGTGCATTTTGTCTCAAAGTTGCCCTGAAATAAAATACCTCTAGGCAGATCCTTGTCTTGCTTCAATTGTTCTTCCTTCTATCTCTAGTTCCCACAAATGGCCACTGGTACATTTTCCAATCTGGGAGGAGACCAGGGATCTTTTAACAACATAATCGGTAACACTTATAATTCCCTAGGTGACCAGAGAATCAAGAGGTTCTGCTTTAGACTGTATGGTAGGTCCTAGCACAAAAAACACTTTGTGTGTTCAGGCGGCTGGAAAGAAGTGATTTTCGCCTTTCACTGTTCCCTCTTGCTTGTCTGTGGGAGCTGCTGGTCAGTGACTTTGATCAGATCTATACCCTGTAACTACTTGGGTAAATCTGACAAGGGGTCAGAAGGAAGCTTGACTCCAAGGATTAGCACGCACGCTTATTAATTGTTCTTTATTTCTTAGATGCTGTAAGTTTGCGGTAGCAAACTCAGTACTCACTGCATTATACGCATACTCATCAGAGATAGCACTGCATAACCAAACCTTCCCTAACCACGCCCTTCTCAGCAGAAGTAAAGGCCTGTACCTCATCAGGTGAAGTACAGCTCCCCTGAAATGTGGACTTGACAGGGATAACTGGGCATTATGTACACATATTATGATTTTTTTTTGAGATGAATTTTTGCTCTTGTTGCCAAGGCTGGAGTGCAATGGCACAATCTTGGCTCGTTGCAAACTCTGCCTCCTGTGTTCAAGTGGTTCTCCTGCATCAGCCTCCTGAGTAGCTAAGATTACAAGTGCCTGCCACCATACCCAGCTAATTTTTTGTATTTTTAACAGAGATGGGATTTCACCATGTTGGTCAGGCTGGTCTTGAACTCCTGACCTTCAGGTGATCCACCTGCCTCTGTCTCACAAAGTACTGGGATTACAGGTGTGAGCCATCGCACCCTGGCTGTTATGATATTTGTATTCAGAAAAGATGTACCTGGTTCTATCAACAAGCATACCACATTCCAACCTAATGAATCCTTCCTCTGAGCTTACAGATCCTTAAAGCTCTCCAGGTGTGGAATGACAGCTGGTAAGAGGCCAGAATGCACTCTTGCAGCCCCCATTCCTGCCCCACCACCACCAGGCCAACTCCAGACCTCTCAGGATCCTATAGCTTCTCAGGTGTTAATATTCTTGGGGCTACTTTGAAATAGATGCTAACATATGGCCCTTCTAGATGAAACTGATTTCTCTACCAAATGGCAAATGGCAGCTGTCTTCTATGGAATCTGAAGGCACTCCTAAAGACCTCCTCTGGCTCATTCTCTTGACTCCTACCTAGGGAGCTGTCTCTCCACAAACACCTTAGGCAACACAGCAGCTGTGTTCTCACTGTTTGCAGCAGCTGCCACACTCTGGATTTAGGAGAGCCAGAAAGAATAGGGAACAAATATACCCTGACACCTAAAATAGTTCCAAACTCACAGGCAAACCGCTGGTTCAGAAAAGTTTGCCTAAAAAATCCTCAACAACTTTAGCCAACAGCCTGTATTCTCAGGACTTGGATCCAATGGGACAGGAGACTAATTCAAGCACATTCTGGTTTGATGCTGGTGTTGGATTGCTGTTTCCAAATTCTGCCTTACAATTAAGGGTGTAAGGTGGGGGAGAGGGGAGAACATTTTTCTGGGATCTTGGCCTATGTCTCCAGTTGCCTTA